AATCTTGAAAAACATTTTTATTTTGACTAACTCCCATACAGGTAAAGGAAGATGATTTTTTTAACCCGTCTATTTCATTGTTTAGGCTGTCTTTGCATCCGTCTTTTAATTTTTTTTTTTCGATTTAGGGGTTCGTTTGTGAAATATTTAGCTTTAAAATGGTATTTTTAATTAGAGTCATGTGCCCCCCATTTAACAACAAAACCCCTGTTTATGGAAATGTGAAAAGTATGCACGATAGTATTATATATAACGAGGTTAAAATGAAAACTGTCACAGCTAAGTAGGCTTAACAAGTTAACGAGTAATAGTCGACCAATTTATAAAATGCACTTGGATTATCTAGTAAAAATTTCTTTATAATTCCATATAAAATGACGCAAACTAGCTGCATTACAACTTTGTAATGTTATTTTAAACTATAAGAAATAAATTTTTTTGGAAGAAAACGACTTATTACATTATTACCATAACTTAACGCATTTTACGAAAATCCACCCGCAAGGAGGCTTGTGGGGCGTTACTTAAAAAAAATCACACTTTCATTCTATAGCTCCAATAGGTATAAAACTTGGTCAGAATATTGTTTTGGCGAGTTAAAAATTACCAAGAACGGATTTTATGAAATTCCACCGTCAAAGGGCAATGCGGGGGGGCGTTGAAAATAAAAGAAAAATTAACTTTTATATATTATCATACTCCCACTAAACGGTTGGACCGATTTTGATGACATTTTGTGTGTGTGATTAAGTTGATTCGATAATAGTTTAGACTCAAAATTCGATACGGTACGTGGCGGTGTTGTCGTGATCCAGAAATTATCCGAGCGAAGCCGGTGCGGATCGCTCGTAGAATAATGTGATATAAATATAATAATCATTTTGATTGTTCCGTGGCGCAATGGCTCGGCATCGAGCTGCGACGCAGAGTACCGGGGTTTTGATCCTGCACGGAACAGTTATTTGCATACCATACAAATAATTGTTCCGTATCTAGATGCTTTCCGCTTTTGAAATTTACTTATGTAACCTGCCTTTACGATACAGTGAACAATCCTAGTGTGAGACTTTAGGAAAAAATAAATAAAAATAGAAATAAGAAAACTGCAATCTCTAAGTGGATACAATATAAAATTTTAAATTATCTAGTATTCTTCTTGACTTGGTGCGCAATTTAAAATCTATCTCTAAGTACGATCTTCGTCTTCGCTTTTCACTCTGCTGCTCCTAATGCTCCCGCCTAGCTCATTATATTGCAATTCCCTGAACGCTCGAATTCACTTACCTACTTAAACATTCCAGGTTAAATTATAGTATTTTTGCAGATTCTCCTATACATAAAGTTTACACTAAATCATTTTTTTTTCTTGTATAATTATAAATTACATGCATCCATTTAATTAAACGTTTTGATGTTTGGTTTCGTTGTTGTTGTTGTTTCGCTCAAATGATTGTTCTTCTAATTTAATTCAAGCAAAAATTTAAATGTGCTCGTACAAAATCTCAAGCCATTGTTGTAAATGTGCTGTCACCTATGGCAACCGATGAATTGAAAAAGCATCTTTGCGAAGCCCACTGCATAACTTCATTAACGGATGCTTTAAATCATGGCTCAATAAAATTATTCCCAGTTTTGATTCGCTATTTTTTACCATGCGAAGGCGTAAAAGTCAAGGTTTTAGAGTTTCGGGAGCAGCCAGGCGAAACATCGGATCTAATTGTCGATTATTTGAAGGAAATATTACCTTTCAATGATTTGAATAAAAAGATTGTGGCCTTTTGTGGAGATAACACTAACTGTAATTTTGGAGGAAAGAATAGAAAAGGGAGTAACAATGTTTACGCAAAATTGAACCATTCACTCGGAAGACAGCTCATTGGGATTGGATGTGGAGCCCACATAGTCCACAATGCGATCAAAACTGCCACTGATTGTCTACTTGTTGACTTTAAATGCATCATTGTGAAAATTTATTCATTCTTCTACATCTACAGCGTTCGAGTCGAAACTTTGAAAGAGTTTTTTTTTTGAGTTTATGGCCTGGTATCTAGACCTTTAGGCCAAGTCTTAAGTATTTTTATTCGGTTTATTGTAATTTCCTCACTCCTTCATAGTATACTGCTTCACAATATGTTGATGCGTCACATTGTGCAGTTCTTGGGAGATTTTGGCGGCAACTTGATCCAGCAGACAGCTAATAGTTGGCGATGGTATCTAAAGGTGCCTATGCAAACAAACAGCTTATCTTGAGAATCCATCACCATCAGAGCACTTGTTTCACTGTTTCCACTAATAGTTCACATGCGTAGACACTTAATACACAAAATCGCAACACTTTTACATATCAAAGTCCACTTCAAACCATTATTTAAACAATAATACAGGAGCAGCAAACCGCCGCCGGTCAATTTCCCGCCAAAACTCTCTGAAAGAGTTTTGTGATTCAACTGACACAGAGTGTCACAAACTGCTGGGCTACAGTAAAACAAGGTGGCTTGCGTTTATGCCCGCGCTTGAGAAAGTTCTAAAAATGTTTCAACCTTTAAAAAGCTATTTTCTAAGTATCGACAAATGCCCAAATATTTTAAAAATGTTTTCCAAAAATCCCAGCTTAGAGTTGTGGTTATATTTTTTGCACACACAAGCAGCGAAATTTCATAAAGCTGTATTAAAAATTGAGGGGCAAAACGTGTCTGCAATAGAGTCTGCGAAGGAAATTAATCGTCTCCGAGATAACCTGACACTCAAAGAGAGCACGATTTTCCTTCCTCACACCGTCCGTAACTTACTTGTAAAATTACAAGAAACTAAAATTGCTGTTGACTAGCATAATGTTAAAATTGCAGCGGCTGAGTTTTACAGAACAAGCAAAGAATATTTGGAGCAGTCGATTCAACACAGAACTAGAATTGTTTGAATGGGCAAATTTAACAAAAGCACCTACTTGGGATGAGGTACAAAATGTAATGGATTTGCTGAATACGCAAGGGTTTAGTAGCAGCAGCCAAGATACGAAAGTCTTTGACGAGTTTTCGCTTATTTCCAACTTTGCAACAGATTTTGTGTGTTTTCTGCTTCCAAAACCGTGTGGTCCCATAATCGATTCAACACCTGTATGCTTCCCAACTTTGGCATTAAGGTCACCCAAGATGACAATAAAAGTGGGCTTTAGTTTTGTTTTGGCCTTCGCTATGTTTTCATATTTATTTATTATTTTATTTATTTTATTTATCTTATATATAGTTTTCAGTTAGTTTTAAAATAAAATACGCTACCCTCGTCGACACACTGGAGATTTCCAAAATGTTATCACAGTGTACTCTATTGATGAGAAAGCCTACGCCAATCTCGTGATAGTAGAGTAGGTAGCCTGGTTACAGGATTAGTGCGTTCTTTCCCTCTCTTCGAACTTTACTCAACCCCAGAACAATCTTACATTTTTCAGCTCTACTTCTAATTCTGCGATGTTCTCGTCGTGCCGCAGAGTTCGTTCATTGTACGTCACCAGGTCCACTTTGTGGTGGTATCCTGCCTTCTTCCGGGGATTCTTAAGACAGTCTAACATGACAAATTTATAATTATGTGAACAGTTGCCGTATTCATAAAATTAGTCATACGAGTTGGTAATAGCAGTATCTAAAGTCTTGCAACTTTGATGCTACTCCTTGTGATTAATTAGGATAATTACGAGATATAGAAATCATAAACCGTTTATATGATAATCTTTTAAATAAAAACTCCTATATCATTTTATGTATTGATTAATTTATTTATTAATTACAACCAGTGAAAAGTCCACAGCTAAATATAGGAGGATATTTGCCATGGTTTCAAGCTCATCATTTTAACTTATTTTTAATTCGCCACGTTTCTAGCACTTTGCAGCATCCATGGTCACATGAGAATTTTTTTTTATTTTAACATTCGTCATGCTAATAAACCAAATTGAGACATATTCGCCGACATCTACATCTATCCTCGTTTGCGAATCAAAATGCAGATGCGTTGTCACCTGTGAGGACTGAGATCGAATGCCTCTTTTCCAGTAAAAAGTGTTTCCAGTTCTCTACACTCACCATACGAAACACAGCAGTGTTAAACTGCTATTTTACGCTGGTATTCTGTGAGAGCGTGGTCCTTCCCCGGTCGAGCCGACCCGTTCGTGCTACAATTATACTACTAATATAGCTGCAGCATGGCTCTACCACATTTAGAAACTACGCAATATATGTTAGTTATGTACTAAAAAATAAAATCTCAAAATCTGGACCCGGTAGGTGGCGACGTAGTCGAGTAGAAAGTACGGTGTAAATTAAGAGTAAAACTTGTCGCATCACCTACCGGAAAGAGCAGACAAAATCTGCCAGGCCAGCTAGTATAGTATAAAGTAAAAAGGGGAAGAAGTAAATTGGTACAGTGATAAACGTTTAAAATATTCAACCATGCAACAAAATTTATATATTCATCATTATCAATGCCACTTGCATTCATTGACTTCCTGCATATCTTACCAGGTCGTCACTTCATCTTGTGGTACAAGGTCGGCCTACACTTCGGTTACCGGTACCAGCTTGCCACTCGGGAACCCTTCTTCCCATCGGTTGTTGATGTTTCGAGCTATATGGCAGGCTCATTGCCAGTTGTATATTAAATATATTAATTTTAATAAAAGGGATGTAATGATAATATTAACAATATCTCCAAAGTTCAAACTCACCTGCACGTACTGCATCGTGCCTAGTAATGAACGAGCCTTAACAACCGACAGACGACGAAATCCATACAAAATCCTAATACCAAGTTCCACAGACTAATGATGGGAATAACATTATAGCACTGCACTAACCTAACCAATGTAGAGATTAGACAATTTTTTTTTTTAATTATATATGTCGATTGTTTGTTGAAAAGTGTTATCTCTGTAATGAATTAAACAATCAATGGAAGCAGAAAGAAAGTAAAATGTATTTAAAATGCAGTAATTTATTCTTCATTTTTTATTAAGCTTGGGGGTCGACAGATCTCATCAGATTGATAACTCTATCATACAATAACGTTTTAGCGTCTATTCCCCATATGAAATCTAAATGACTGAAGAAAGTCATTGGCACTCGAATCTTGATTCCTGCTCCCAGTTCTCTGAATAGGCGATCCACATCATTTACATGCGCTAACGGGTCATTATCAGAATAGTGTAAAAATGCAGGAACCACAACATTTGACAAATCATAGTTCGGTGGTTTTCTACTGCCATAAACCCTCAAATTTTTCAAGGAGCCGTGATCATAGCGACGGAATCCTTTATCAGCGATACCTTGACCATAGTGAACAAACTGTCTTACAGCTGCACCAGCAGGAGTGTGACCCAATATGACTGGAAACATTGTCTGTAAATACCAAATAACAGGTTGATATGAAAATTAATAAATTACGTTTTACATGATTTATGGAATTAGGAAGTTGGAAAAAGAAGAAACAGGAAAAGACTTCATTGTCTTGGGACATCTAAGAGTATATTCTATTTCTATGTTTACTAACAGTTGCCGTACGAAAGTGTTATTTCAGTTCATCAGCGCTTGAGAATTGTCTTAGTACAAAGATAGAGAGTACAAAGGTTAGACTTAGAATCCCGCGAAATTCTGATAAATTTGTTAGTTCATTCTTGTAATTATCAATTTAGTCCCCGCAGTTAAAAAAGTTTAACATCGCAAAATATATCTTAATTAATTTCGTACTATGTAAATCTTTGTTATCTAATACTTACTGCATTAAATTGTTCTTCGTTCCATCCACCTACAAGAAACATTATGCTGCTACAAATTGGCTGAAAAACTACTTCATCTCTACAAAGCGCTTGTCCCGCCCATGTCATAATCTTGTTGTTAGGTAAAAACTCTCCGATGCCAATAAGTGCACCGATAGACTGCAAGATATTAGTAAATATATTGTATATCAAAGGGACAATTACAGTGTTATTACATTTTTAGTTCAATATTCAAAGCATAAATTAAATCCTAATAAAATATGAGTAAGTAATACAATGTCAACTGCTAAGTATAGTAACTAATAAAATTATTTATGAAAAAGCCGTTAATATAAAGGCAAATTACAGATCCATTCACCTGGCATCACTTTTCAACTTTGATGTCTTAAGTTAAGGAAGAGTTAGTGACAATGTTAAAATCACTGTTTGGTATGATACTCTAATTAACAAAATATTCGAATAATTTTATTGAATGTTAGGGCTATATTCTATAAGCAGCACTAAAATTAACAAAATAATCACCTCGAGATTTTTAGCATGCGGAGCCAAAGTGTTAAGCAAAGGACTCCGGTTGTGTGCCATGTACGCAACAGGAGCGAACGCATGCATGGCAATAATCTTTTCATTGTATTCAGGCCGAAGAGAACACATTACAAAGAATGCCGTAGTTCCTTGTGAATGACCAATGTAATGTAATTTATCTTTTCCGGTATATTCAAGAGCATAATCTATCATACTGGGCAAATCTATGTTTCCAATTTCGTCCCAAGAGAATTCCCAAAACGCTGTATTTAATAAAGCATCCGGTTTCAAGCGAAGATGCTTGCGAGAATAATAGTTTCCACGAGCATTACCCAGCCAAACGTCAAAACCAGCTTCAGCGAGAATGTACGCTGCAAAATAATTTAATTATAAATAATTTAAAATTAAAAAATCTAATTTATATACTACAGAAATCGAATTAAAAAAAATAATGTACCGAACGCAGTGCCAGGCCCCATCGTTATCCAATCAGCTGAAGAAGAAAGCAGCCCGTGCATCAAAAAGACTATAGGCTTCTTGCGGTTCGGGGTGTTGTTGGCATCCCGACCATGAGGAATGCGATGCATCTCCAATATGTATCCATCTTTAGTCGTCACGCTGTGCACTTCTAGCGGATAGTTGTATTTTCGGACCAATTCGGGCTACATTGAAAACATTACATATTTTGATATACTGCATGGTATTTTAAATACTTACAAATTTTTATATTGTTAAAGAAAGAGAATTTCGAATATTATTTTTTGGAAAATATATGCGCAGTGTTCTTTTTTAAATGAAAACAAAGTAAAAGGCGACCCTGATTTGAATATATTTTTAAAGATAATGTCTTACTTTTAACCCTGAGACAATTATATTTTTTGAAATGTTTCTAATATTAATAATTAAATACCATACTTCATATTAAGAAAGACGTCTGACGTAAACTGGAAAAAGGAGAATAAGCTTAGCTCTACAATCACTTACCACATCAAGGCGGGCATCCTCTTGTAAATCATCGGAATGTCGGGGATCAAAATTACTAGTTTGCAACAACTCCTCGATGTAAGCGGATTGCGGTAATTGTCTAGCTGCCGCTAGAGCAACCAATGCGTATAACACAGTAAATGTTAAACGCAACATGTTAATGAACAAAGAAGCAAACAAAATTCGGGAAACACATCAGTGCTTTTATAATGTCTCCATTGCGATAAGAAACCCAATCATTTATAAATTAATCAATGCTACTGCCAAAATTATCAACAAAATTATAACTACATCATGTTTAATCAGCTTTTAGATTATTTAAGATTCCGCAATTTTAAATCGTGTAGCTAAATTAAAATAATTAGTAGATTTTAAAAAGAATATATAAAAATCATGTGTCACATTGTTTGTCCGCAATGAACTCCTAAACTACTGAATTGATTTCAATGAAATATTTCAAACTGTGTGCAGTTTGGTCCAACTTGAGAGATAGGATAGTTTTTATCCTGATAAGTGACCCTCAATTTTTTTATTGCTAATTTCAGGAGTTTTTTTTTTAGGAAAGCAAATGGTCGTCGGAAAGGGCAGAACAACGTCTGCCAGGTCAGCTAGTATTATAATAATTCTATCTATAAGTCTAACCTTGGTCGGTTTTTCATAACAGCCAAAGGTGGCGTGCAGTTTACATACCATGTAGTGACGGCGTAAGAGAATCCACTAGACCATATCCCGCGAGTGCGCGTCAGAGGCGTCAGAGGCAACAGAGGACTACTAAAGAGGAGATGGATAGCTACGTTCTCCTGATAAAAAATTTAAATAATAATAAAACTGCAGATTCCGACCGCGAAAACTGTGGCAAATATCACCCATATGAGGCAATTTATGGGAAATACCTATGTTCAGAAGCGGACTTTTAATAGACTATAATGAATGATAGTCGATTTATCTTACACGACGCCAAGTTTAGTGTACTACAAATCTGAACACAGTGTGTTTCTTACAATAATTAATAAAATAAATAAAAATAAAAATTATATTTTTTCTAAAATTTTTGTTGAACTTTTGCAACGCTTTTATATAATTAATAATTAAATTATTAATTATATAATATGATTGCGGCAGTCGAGCTTTCCAATAAAGAAGACGGTTCGATGTTGCCAACGGCTTAGAATCCTAGAATTAAGAATATTAAATCTAACCACAAACACATCAGTGATGAAGTCCCAAGTTACTGTAAGCTTATTATGCAAAGAGCGAAAAAATTAATAATTAAAAGCTGAGGTATACCGAGTTCACCCGAAATACCTCAGCTTCATGATAATCATCATTTATTACAGCCTTCACAAAGCACGGTCCTGAGCCATATAAATAATAGAGCCACGCTGCAGCTATATTATGGTTGTAGCACGAACAGGTAGTACAGTAGTACAGGTGTAGTAGGACAACGCTCTCACAGAATACCAGGGTAAAATAGCAGCTAAATGATGTTGTGTTTCGTATGGTGACTGTAGAGAACCGGAAACATTTTTTACTGGAAACGGGGTATTCCATCTCAGTCTTCAAGGCTAGCAATGCATCTGCTTTTTATTTTTTAAGCATCCACTTACCATCAGGTGAACTGTGTGCTCTTTTGTCACCCTTATTCTATAAAAAAGCCACCTGCATCCATCGACTTTCTGCATATCTTACCAGGTCGTAACTCCATCTAGTGGGGACCTCTCCCACACTTCACTTACTGGTGCAAGGTTGCCACTCGAGAACCTTTCTTTCCCATGGGTTGTCGGTTCTTCGAGCTATATGGCCGGCCCATTGCCACTTCAGCTTACTAATCCGTTGGGCTATGTCGATTACTCTGGTTCTACTGCAAATATTCTCATTTCTAAGTCTATCACGCAGAGTACCTACAAGCATAGCCCTCCCGATAGCTCTCTGAGCGATCTTGAACTCCCTCATACGACCAGCAGTGAAGGGCAATGTCTCAGATCCATATTTCATCATTGGCGACACTCACTGGTTGTAAAATCTCGTTTTCAAGTTTTGATACACGTGACGAGAATATGTGTCATAATTTCGCAAGTGCAGACGATTTGAATACTCCGACTGACATCACGATCAAAGTTAGACTTACCTAGTCGGACAATTTGTCCTAGGTAAATATACTCATCGACAACTTTGAGCGTAGTGATCCCAACAACTACTGAAGAAACGGAGAAATATTAACCAATGGGATTGCGTAAAAATCTCTGCTCCGCTCCAGTGGGCAGGCATTTGCGAGCTAGTTTAAAAATGCATACATTTATGAAAGCGGCACGTGGCAGCAGAGCGGGGCAGCGGAGCGAGGCGGTACTTGATATAATTTCTTCACGTCAATGGACAGGCAGCCTTAATTACCAATATTAGGCTCACCTTTTAGCTGTTTCGTTTGGTTTAAGGATGAATCTAGGTACGTTTTTGATTAATCCAGGAATGATATTTTCGATCATGAAAATAACCTCATGAGTCATAGTAAATTACCCATTTCCAGACTAGTATAAATGCAGCGGTGAATTTGTGATGTGGTTGCATTGACAGTGAGCTATAGAACTCCATAGTATATATTTTACTACTATTTGATATTACTATTGTATATATACATATTGAAGAAGAATTCCTCATTGACTGATTGTCTCATCTATCAACGCACAGTCCAAGCCAGTAGACGTAGTAATCTGAAATTCAGAGATTAGCTGCCTTTAATGATTTAGGCACCCAATAGGATTTTGCACGCCTCATATCGCGAAGCGATATTAGGTAGTGCTTTATTCTCGATACGTCAAGGTCAAGCAATTTTGTGTTCCTAAAATGCCTCTATCATAACCATATTGCACTTATATGATAATATTAGTAGCCGTATATCAAGAAAACACTAATTAATCCGTCTTATATTTTCTAAAAAATCGTTTTATATTGCTACGTTGAAAAAAATGGTTTTAAAAAAGTACGTGGACGTCCCGATGGTGATTTTGTATATGGTCACGATAACTCCCGAAAATTGAAGTATCAAGACCAGGTTTTTTTTTATTAGCTTCAGAGTTACACGAACTGGTTCCTTAATTCCCTGTTTCATATCAATAGCCTAGTACGCATAGTTTGTTAATAAAATTATTTTTAACTTTTATAAGTTTTATTGCTATTAAAAATTTGGAGACGCTTTCATATTTTTATACCGATTTTATACTTTATGTAATCGATTTATTTTGGTAAACATTATTAATTTTTTACCTTGTAGGTGGTATTACCATTTAAAATAATAGAGCGCTAAATTTAAACCACGTATATAGCATATTTTAAAAATCAGGAATACAACTTATTTTTTTCATCAAAATTTTTTTATAGTTGCCGTCCATTAGTCTTTTACAAAAGAGTATGTTTCCAAAACATCTTAAGAATATCATGCAGAAATTACTTATTTTTAAGCACTAACTTTTTTTATATGATAGGGTGGCAAACCAGCACATAGTCCACCTGATGGTAAGTGGTTGCTGTGACTCATAGATATCTACATTTATCCTCAATAAAGAATCAAAATGCAGATGCGTCGTCACCCGTGTGGACTAAGATAGAATGCCTCTTTTCCAGTAAAATGGGTCTCCGGTTCTTTACACTCAATATACGAAACACAGCAGTGTCAAGCTGTCATTTTACGCTGGTATTCTGTGAGAGCGTGGTCCTTCCGCGGTCGAGCCTTGTTCGGGCCTTGAAACTTGTTCGGGGCCTGCTGAAAATCAGCGCTGTTAGCTCGCGGCATTTGTTGAGACGGTCCCTTCCACCACTTCATCATAGCACACAATTATTTTTTAATTATTTTTATTTCAATTTTAATGTGCGTTTGCATATACAAATAATGGACGCACTTCTTTTATTTATTCTAATTTTTGTTTGTTTGTTTATAAGTCACTTGTATTATTTTTGATTGTAATTTGTCATGTGTGTAGAAGATGTAAGTGTTGGAATAAATGTCTTTCTTTTGTTTCTTAATACTTCATACATAGTACAAATTTCCAGGCCGAATATTTGGGTATAATTTGTGCGGCGCTGCGGCGATAGTTAAAGTTACTGGTTTGAGAGTTGAAAGTCAAGGACTTCTCCATCTGAGTACTAACGGACTGGCCATCTGAATGTTGAGGACTAACATTGCGGTACTACGAGCTCTGAGCAGCAATCTGTTGAACTCAGGACCAGTTCACAAATCCCATCATCGTTTAAACAAGGTATCAACAGTATGAAAGTAGGAAGAATCAACGGCTACAGTGTGTATCTAAGGGTAACGACACAGCTGTCAAACTAGCCAGTGGAGGATTGGCACAATCTATAGGTACTCTATCACTCGATTTCTTAAGACCAGAACCGATTCCTTATGGATATGTTCGTTCAAGGGTATGTAAACACTTCATCAATCAACACGCTCAGTTTTGTATACCTCTACTATGAACATACCAAATAAGCTAGACAAGTCCTACCTACATTGTATGGTCGCATCTCCAAGGAAATATTACGACTGAATTTTGATAGCAACGAGTAATATTACCAGACATGGTTCTTTTAAAATACATCTGTTTATCAACGTATAAAAAGTCCTCTGAACGGGAAACGGGGGCCCAAGGGCTTCTGGTATGTCAGGAGGACGCCCCTACATGACAACACATCTCGACGCGCCGTGGTCGATTTCCTTGGTCGTCAGTAACATCACGACTTTCTTTGACGCGATTCGTTGGTTCTGAGCTTGATTTATTTCCAGTCATGTCAGATGACCGTCCCATCGGACTGTGAGGGTGAAGGAACAGAGGGTGCACCAGTGTTACTATTGCAGTGCAGATCTAGACTGAACGAGGGCCTGTTTTCACCTCTTGTGAAGTTCGGAATATTGTACTCGGGCTAAGTTTAAGATTTTCGTGCCTTGTGGCAAGGTCTTCCTGAAAAGTCCATGATAAGTACTTGCATTATTCGAAATAGTATCATTGAGAAGCTTCTTTACGACAGACAGTCCTCTTGTTTAACTGTGGCCGAAGGCCGTGATCCTTGGCGATTTTAACGCCCACCATGCCGAATGGCTCGGTTCACGTCTAACCGATCATGCGGGGAGATCTGTTTATGACTTTGCCTTGGCATATGGTCTG